ACTATTATATTATCAGAGCATAATTTTTATTTAAAATATAATATATTTTGTATAAATTTATATTTCATTATTATAATTGTAAATATATATTAATTAATATTATAATTATCTTATAAGCCTTAATATAAAAATACATGTAATTTACAGACAATGCAGTCATAAAATCAATATAAGGTAAAAGTCTAGACTAGCAATAGCTAGACTAATAATAGTAGGGGTTTCACGGCTCACAAATAGTTGTTTAATTTATTATTGCGCAACATTTGAAAAGTTAATACAAACTTAAGTGTATTAATAGTGGGAATAATCACTTTTCTATGGATAGTTTTCTCTAAATATCTGATATAAGTTTCCGATACTAAATACCTATTAAATATTGCAATAACCAAAACCCAGAATTTAGATAAAATATAAAGTAATATAATAATTAACAACGAGTCTGAATATACCCATATTTTTTTATAGGCGATGCCTCACAGTTTGTGTCACTACTGCACGACAGCAAATGTAATGTTTTAGTTATAAATTAATGTATAATTTTCTAAAACTACGTAAAAATTATGTTAATTGTTTTGTTATATAAAATAATTTATATTTCATTTAATATTTATTTTATTTTATTAATTTTAATAAAATCAAAACAATAGATCTTATAGAGTATAGAAACTGAATCTATTATATGCTAAACAACTTGTTTGTCTGGACACTAACTTAATGTATATTTTGTTAATTTTATTTTGTTATAATATATTTTCATTTAAGTAACTAAAAACAAATAAAATAATAGTAGTATAATATAATAATAATTGATAAAAATTAGTAAAACTAAAATATTTTGTTTTAAAAATATAAACATCAAGAGTATATTTGACATTTAAAATAATTTTATTAATACATTTACTAACCTTAAATTGAATGATAAAAAATTAACTTAAATACAATAATTTACTAAATAATAAATTAATTATTTAATAACCGAAATAAATTACTAAAATAACTACAATATACTTCTTCTAATTTCTCTATAAATATGTCAATTGTTTTTTAATAATAATAATTTATAATTTAAATAAAAGTTATCTAATTTAAAAAATTAGATATTATTTATAGCATGTATTTTATAGTAATTCATAAACTTTATTTTAGCTATTAGCGGTTTTAAAAAATTGATATAAAGGTTTGTATTAACAAATTTTATGTGCTACTCAAAAAAATCTACAAATAAATATTAATGTATTTAAATAATAATTAAAAATAAATTTTCTAGAAAAATATAAATTATAATTATAATATAATAATAATGAAATTTGAATTAATTTAATAAAAATACCAGTTTCTCAATTAATTGCAATATAAAATTTTTTTAATAACTATTAATAACTTAAGTAACCAACTATTATTTAGTTAAAAATTAATTTTAATAATATTAATATAAAAATTTTAATAGTATATAATTTATTCTACTATAATTTACATTCAATATGAAAATTAAAATTTAAGCTATTCAAATACAATATAATTAATATGTATATGACTTAGCACATACTGTATTTAATAAGCATATATTAAATTATTCTTGAATTAACAATTATAATTAAATTTATGGCTTGTAATGCAATTTTTTACATTCATGAATATAAATAAATGTCAAATTCAAGTTAAGCTATAAAACTAAAGTTTTTGTTTAAACATTGTAATATTTTATTGTTTAGTTATAATTTTTTTTATAAATATTTAAAATTAAACCTACTAGACTTAAAATAAAGTTTAATTTTTTTAAGTAAAAATGTTACCATTAGAAAAAAGTTTGCTTTTTATTTTATTTTGTATTACGAGTGGTACTATTATTGATGTAATATTAATATAAAATTAGTTTATTATATTGTAGGCTAAACTTGGTTATATGTAGCCATCGGTTTTCACGCGATTTTTAAAAACATATATTACATGTATTAAAAATTGACGAGAGATTCAATTTATATTATTAAAACCATTAATTTATATCTATCGGTCAGAATTGTAAAATATTATAGTTTTTAATTAATTATATTATTTTAGTAATGCGTAAAAATATGAAAACCCCAATAGACTACATATAACCATTCAGTTCCATAGTGTAAATAGTAATAAATTGTTAATATATTATATAATAGGCTAAACAAATGACTGGATTGTTTGGTCATCCAATTGGTCACAAAACAGATCTCCTAACAGCCGGCAATCACGGACCGGCACTACTACAAGATGTCCAGTTCCAAGAAGAGATGGCACATTTCGATAGAGAGCGTATACCTGAACGGGTAGTTCACGCACACGGAACCGGTGCTTTCGGTGTGTTTCGGGTAACAAATACAGAGATCACGAAATACACTAAAGCAGATCTGTTTAACAAAATGGGAAAACATACAGAAGTTGCCGTCCGGTTCTCCACTGTTTCGGGAGAAAAGGGTTCGGCTGACACATCATTTGGTGAACCGCGAGGTTTTGCCGTCAAGTTTTATACTGAAGAAGGAAATTGGGATTTGACTGGTTTGAGTGCACCCATGTTTTTCATAAGAGATGCCTCACAGTTCCCATCCTTTGTCCACGCCACCAAACGTAATGTAACTTCCGGTTTGCCCGAACCTAACTATAGATTTGACTTTTACTCTCTGAGACCCGAAACTCTTAATATGCAAACATACGTCTATAGCGACAACGGTATGCCCGATGGCTATAGACATATGCCTGGGTTTGGTGTCCATGCGTTCAGATTAGTAAACGAACAGAATAAACACGTATTTGCAAAGCTTCATTGGATAACACAACAGGGCAACAAAAACTTGGACCGCGAGACCAACTTTAAATTAGCCGGTCAGCTATAAGCGCTATATATAACAGTTATGTTAAAAACAATTAATTTTATAGGTAGTGATCCAGATTATGCTCAAAGGGACTTATATACTGCCATCGAAAAAGGTCAATACCCGTCGTGGACTTTGAAGATACAGGTGATCACTGATGATATGGTTAAAGACTTTAAGTTCAACCCGTTTGATGCAACAAAAGTATACACAATAATGTTTTTTAACGTGATTTTGTAATTATTAATAATTATATTTAATTGTAAGATATGGCCAATAGATAAGTATCCGCTAATAGAAGTTGGAGTCATGACATTAAACAGAATACCCCGGAATTTCTTTGCCGAAGTCGAACAATTGGCTTTTTGTCCGTCAAATTTGGTACCCGGTATTGAACCGTCACCCGACCTACTATTAGCCGGCAGATTGTTTTCTTACAAAGATACACAACGATACCGGTATTTAAAAATGTTTTAAATTAATTGAATTATAAATTAATTGCAGTAATGATATTTTGTTTTTTAGTTTGGGTGCTAATAATCAGTTGATACCTGTAAATCATCCGAAAAACCAAATCAATACATTGACAGATAGGGATGGTTTTATGCGCACCGATAACAATGAAGCCGATGCTGTCAACTATTATCCCAATTCATTCAGTGATGTTCGCGACAATCCAAAGAAAAGAGAGTCAAACATTACTTTGAAAGCCGATAGTAATGATGAGATCGTTGTCTTTAGATATGATGACAGCGATGACCACAACTACGAACAGGCGAGAGATTACTACCGATCACTGGCTGACGACTGGAAGACACGATTGCATCAAAATCTGGCCTTTCATATGAAAACTATTCGTCAGTTTATAATTGATCTCCAACTCAAACACATCCGTTTGGTTGATCCGGCATTTGCTGATGGAGTTGAACATGAACTCAACAATTTTCGACAATAATATAAATTTTACAATTATTTGAATATTTGTTTATATCTTTTTAAAATTATTACTGAATAAGTTGAATATATTGAAAATTATTAAATAAAAATTGTATTTAAAATTTATAGTCTTATGAGTAATAGTAAAAAAACGGTATATAGTATATAAAAAAATATGTTAAGAAAGATATTTACAATACAATATTTATACAACACTAATATTATTTAAATTAATATACAAAATATATATAAACTGAAATATTTAAAAAATTCTACTGTATATTAATAAAGTATTATATTAAAGATTAATTAAAATTATATTATATTATATTAAAGAGTATAAGAGATTATATAAGAGATTAATATAATAAAGAGTAAGTACTTTAAAAGTACAATAAATGTCAAATAGTTAACGGAATAATTAATATAATTTTAATTAGTAATTTTTTGTTCTCTTAAAAATTTTTATATTATTTGATTTAAAAAATTATCAAATTTTTTAAATATAGTTATTATTTAGTAAACTTAATTATTAATAAGATTTAGTACTTTAGTTTTATATTGTGTATTATTAAATAAAAAACTAATATTCAAAATTTTATAATCTAGTAAATAATAGTAAAAGTTTAAAATATAATTACAATAAATACTAAAAATATGTTTTTCACAATATTTATCAAACAATTGTATATTAATTATTATAGTAAAAAAGTAAGTACTTATAAACTCATAGTTTAATTCATTGCAATAATATTTATATTATTTTACGAAATAAAGTTTTAATTAGTCATTTACTGTATGTTTACTTATCTTTTCTATTTTATAACTTTATATTATAATTAATTAATTAATATTATAAATAAATAAATAATACAACTTAATATACTGTAAAATTTTATTTTCATAATATGAATAATTTATAAATAATTATTATTTAATATAAAAAATATTAGTAAAATCAATTTATTTAAAAATAATATAAAAAATAAATGTTAATAAAGCAAAAATTAGTCTAGATAAATAATTTTCCAATAATAATTGATTAATAATTATTAAATTTAAATTATTATTTAAAAATCATTATAGTTTAAATAATTTTACAACATGACAGTTCAAAAATTTTGGTAATAATACTTTTATATGATTTTAAAAATGTAGATTTTGATTTGTATGAGTTTCTAAAAAAGTATATAAGCTATAAAACTATAGCTTTTTAAAAATTATTTAGTAAAAACATTCGAATTATTAGTAATATTATTAGTAAAAACTTTTAAATCTGATTTAATAAAATTAAAATGTTAACATCGAAAATATATTTGCTATTTTGCATTATAACTGGTGCTAAAATTCATGTAAATGATGTAAGAATTAATTATTTTATTATATTAAAAATAATAATAAATTTTATTATATAATAGGCTAAACAAATGACTGGATTGTTTGGTAATCCAATTGGTCACAAAACAGATCTCTTAACAGCCGGCAATCACGGACCGGCACTACTACAAGATGTCCAGTTCCAAGAAGAGATGGCACATTTCGATAGAGAGCGTATACCTGAACGGGTAGTTCACGCACACGGAACCGGTGCTTTCGGTGTGTTTCGGGTAACAAATACAGAGATAACGAAATACACTAAAGCAGATCTGTTTAACAAACCGAGAAAACAAACAGAAGTTGCCGTCCGGTTCTCCACTGTTTCCGGTGAAAAGGGTTCGGCTGACACATCATTTGGTGAACCGCGAGGTTTTGCCGTCAAGTTTTATACTGAAGAAGGAAATTGGGATTTGACTGGTTTGAGTGCACCCATGTTTTTCATAAGAGATGCCTCACAGTTCCCATCCTTAATCCACGCCACTAAACGTAATGTAACTTCCGGTTTGCCCGAACCTAACTATAGATTTGATTTTTTCTCATTGAGACCCGAAACTCTTAATATGCAAACATACGTCTATAGCGACAACGGTATGCCCGATGGCTATAGAAATATGCCTGGGTTTGGAGTACATGCGTTCAGATTAGTAAACAAACAGAATAAACATGTGTTCGCAAAGTTTCATTGGATAACAAAACAGGGCAATAAAAACTTAGACCGAGAGACCACATTTAAATTGGCCGGTAAGTAGTTTAACGACATTACAACTAATATTATTAGTTATAACAGTTATAATAAAAACTAATGATTTTATAGGTAGTGATCCAGATTATGCTCAAAGAGACTTATATACTGCCATCAGTAATAGACAATACCCGTCGTGGACTTTGAAGATACAGGTGATCACTGATGATATGATTAAAGATTTTAAGTTCAACCCTTTTGATGCAACAAAGGTATATATATATAATAATAATAATAATGTTTTTAACGTGAATTTGTAATTATTAATAATTATATTTAATTAATGGGAAAGTCAGTAGTGAGTAGAGATCGGCAAATAGAAAATTTCTAGAAAATTTCTCAGCAATAAATTTCTATAGAAATTAATTTTATTGTTATACTATGGGATCCTCATATCTACAGCTATTGTAATAATATATTAATAATGAGACATAATACTATTCATATAACATTAAACTATACACTACTATATAAAATGGAATACCTATATGTAAAATAATTATAATTATTTAATAATAATCATTATATTATATTATTATTATTTCATATATTTAAGAATTTAAGATAATTAAATAAATTAATTGTTACTTTACAATGTGTGTGAACAAAATCAACATAGATAGAAATTTCTTTTAGAAACTTTCTAGAATTTCTTTATTATTTTATAAATTTCTCTTTTTTTTCCAACACTACTAGCGAGGAGTAAGATAAAGGTTGTTTGTAAGAGATAGTAACTATTAAAATATACCATTATTTAAATTGTTTTTTTTAATTATACAGCGCTTTTAATTAATTTGTTACATAAACCAATATATTACTATATATTTAATTGCTAGATATGGCCAATAGATAAGTATCCGCTAATAGAAGTTGGAGTCATGACATTAAACAGAATACCCCGGAATTTCTTTGCCGAAGTCGAACAATTGGCTTTTTGTCCGTCAAATTTGGTACCCGGTATTGAACCGTCACCCGACCTACTATTAGCCGGCAGATTGTTTTCTTACAAAGATACACAACGTTACCGGTATCGGCACTAATGAGATGTTTTATAGTAATTAAAATATAAATTATTTTTAAAAAAAATAACATTATGTTTTTGTAGTTTGGGTGCTAATAATCAGTTGATACCTGTAAATCACCCGAAAAACCAAATCAATACATTGACAGATAGGGATGGTTTTATGCGCACCGATAACAATGAAGCCGATGCTGTCAACTATTATCCCAATTCATTCAGTAGTGTTCGCGACAATCCAAAGAAAAGAGATTCAAACATTACTTTGAAAGCCGATAGTAATGATGAGATCGTTGTCTTCAGATTTGATGACAGCGATGACCACAACTACGAACAGGCGAGAGATTACTACCGATCACTGGCTGACGACTGGAAGACACGATTGCATCAAAATCTAGCCTTTCATATGAAAACTATCCGTCAGTTTATTATTGATCGTCAACTAAATCAACTCCGTTTAGTTGATCCGGCATTTGCTGATGGAGTCAAACAAGAACTCAACAATTTTCGAAAATAATATTAATTTTTCAATTTTTTATTTTGTAATAATTATATATTGATTACTAAATAAATTGAATATTTTTATTATTATTCTCTTAAAATAATTAATTCTTAATTACTTTAAGATTTTGTTAATAATTTTGTCTTATTATTTTTTGAGATTTAATATTTTAGTTTTCATATTAAAATTTATTAAATAAAGATAATATTTAGCTTTTATAGTTTAATTGTAATGGTTAGTTTGGTAAATTTATAAATTATAATTGTATTTAATATAATAAATATGTTTAAAAAGTTTTCCACAATATTTATCCAAAACTGATATTATTTCCATTATATAATATACAAATTAATGTAAATAATTTTATATTATCATTAAATAAAGAGTAAGTGTAATAATGGGAATAAGTTTTAATTAGTCATTTTTGTTTACTTAAAAATTTAGTTTTCTATTTAATAATAATTTTTATATATTTTATATTAATTAAAGTACAACTCATGATTATTTTATGATACGATACTTTATTTATTTAATAAACTGATTTTTTGAATACAAAAAATTATTTTATTAACGTTTGAATTGTTATCTAATTAAGTTAAGTTTAAGTTTGTAATAAAGTCTAACAAATTAAGATGAATTAAATTATTAAATGAATATTAAAACAAATTCACAAAACTTATATGTAAAAATAATATAACATTAATATCACACAATTTATTAAAATTAAAGGAAAATTATCAAAACAAAGTAACAAAAATTAAAGTTAATTATTTTTAAATCATATTAACTAATATGTACTTTTCTAATAATTATTAAATAATATTAATTAACTTTAAGTTAATCATTAAAATTATATAAATATTGCAAATGTAGATTTTGATTTGTATGAGTTTCTAAAAAAGTATATAAGCTATAAAACTATAGCTTTTTAAAAATTATTTAGTAAAAACATTCGAATTATTAGTAATATTATTAGTAAAAACTTTTAAATCAGATTTAATAAAATTAAAATGTTAACATCGAAAATATATTTGCTATTTTGCATTATAACTGGTGCTAAAATTTATGTAAATGATGTAAGAATTAATTATTTTATTATATTAAAAATAATAATAAATTTTATTATATAATAGGCTAAACAAATGACTGGATTGTTTGGTAATCCAATTGGTCACAAAACAGATCTCTTAACAGCCGGCAATCACGGACCGGCACTACTACAAGATGTCCAGTTTCAGGAAGAAATGGTACATTTCGATAGAGAGTGTAAACCTTTAATAATTTTGTTAATAATTTTCTCTTATTATTATTCAGATTTAATATTTTAGTTTTCATATTATAATTTATTAAATAACCAGTTAAGAATGCTAGAAAGCATTTTCAGAAAAAAAAACTTGAATAGCATTAAAAACCATTAGTTTGTATAATTATAACGGCTATATAATAACATATAAAAATTTAAAAACTGGTCAAATATATATAATATAAATATTGTCATGCAAGTTATCAAATGAATCAGTATGACAAAATAAACACAACTTTAGTCATGTAGAATATCAATTGACTTGGTATAACAAAATAAACTCAACTATAGTCATGTGGAGTATCAAATTACTCGGTATGACAAATAAACAACTACTCAAATGATTTAGTGTAACAAAATAATCATCTATAATTATACTTTTGCCGATTATACTTATTCTTTATGTTCCCGTAGATATCACAATTTTAATGCATATTTTTTATCCTTATTTTTGATGTTTTATTCAAATCTATACTTAAAAAAAATTTATTAAAATTTTTAATACTTTTGCCGCTATTTTTTAAAAAAAATATGCTGATATATTATATCATATTTTTAATGCTCTTTACAATTCTAAACGTTAAAATTTTTACCTAATTTTTTTTACTTTGGCCGCCATTTTCTTTATGTTCCCGAAAAGATATCAAACTTTTAATGCATATTTTTTATTCTTGTTTTTGATGCTTTATTCAAATCTATATTTTAAAAAATTTTTCTTATTTTTTTTACTTTGACCGCCATTTTGTCTATGTTCCCGAAGAGATAGATCATTTTTGATGAAACTTTTCAATACATTATTAGTAGTCCTCTAACCGAATCTGAAGTCAGAATTTCAAAATTCGCAAAAAATATGCTACAGACGGACACACACTAAAAAGTCTCGTATAGATTTCAGAAAACAAAACTTTTCAAGTTTTTTTTTGAAAATAATATTAACTTTTATAGTTTAATTGTAATGGTTATTTTGGTAAATTTATAAAGTTATATTAAAATTCATAAAAATTCAAACAACTCAATAATTTTAGACAATAATATTAATTTTATATTTTGTTATAATTGTAAACTTATAAATTGATTTAAAATATAAGTTATGTTTTAAGATATAAATTATATTTTATAATAAATTTTATTATGACTCAATTACATAGAAATTATTTTTCAATACAATAGCTAAATATTAAACATTAGATAAATAAAATTTATAAAAGTGTCAATAATATTGACTTAAAAATTCAAGTACTAGTTGAGTGCAAATCAAGTTTATGTGATTATATTATTATACATCACTGTCTAATAAGAAAAATAAAAATAGCAATACTATTAAATAATCATTTCATATAAAAATAATATCTTATATATGTATTTAAATTTGATATACAGTATCGTGTGTTTAATTAAATTTTATTTGTTTTGTTATTATTATTATTATAAACTATAGTTGGAAATCATTCAAAATTATTACAATTTAATAGTTAATGCCAACACATGAATGACTACTTTTTTTATTCAAATTATTTTTTAAAAATAAATAAATTAAGTTATAATTATAAGTACACACATACACATACTTACAATTAATTTTTAAATAGATTATTAATACGTTTGTGAACAATAATTTTTTACATAATTTTGTTTATGAAACTTTCATTGTCAATGTCAAGCAATCTCATAAATTATATAAAACATATAAATTTATATAACTATAAATACTATTAATAATTATTTAATTTAATACACAGTGTATTTTGCTTTTACTTGTATAACAAGTGTTTTCTTTGCATAATTTGAAAAACAATTCAATTAATTTTTATGTGATCAACAAATACATTTAAATTTGGATTAAAATAAATATTACTAATGTAAGTGTTAATATTTTATTAAATAAACAATTGTAATGTTTTTTAAATATATGTATTTAAAAAAATTATAAAAACTATTGACAATTATAAATTAAAAAAATATTAAGTAAAGTACTAAACAGTATTAAACAATAGTTAGATTTGTTATATAAATTAGTGAAAATATTGTTTGTTTGATTAATCGCTATTATAAACGCAAATGTAATGTAATTGCTTATGTCATACACGTGTTTAAAAAATATTTATTTTAAACCTATTATTTATAGATTTAAATATTTAATATTCTGTCATATTTTTTCAATAATACAAATAAATATTATATTATATTGTTTTGAATCATCAAAATTAATTTAAAATAATTACATACCATTTGAGTATTAGTATTTATCAAATATAACAATACAATTGTTTTATAGCTGTTTTATGACAATTTTTAATTTAATTTATTGTTAAATCTTGTAATTGCATTGAACAAGGTTAAATTAAATAAATAATTTTTAAAACGATTAAATCCAGTGCATTTATTATAAATTATAAATAAATTTTTTATTTAAAGTCTAAACTTTAAACTTGTTAGTTAAAAATATTTTTACCTTAATGTAAGTATGAATAAATAATTTTATTTATTTAAAAGTTTTCGATATATCGATAATATATATAACTGTCTTGTAAATTGTATGTTACAAATTGTAAATTATTGAAAATTAATTAAATACTCATTAATTATTTCAAATATTAATCCCAAACACGATTTAAGATAAATTAATTTTTAAAATCCTTTTAATTGCATTTTTTTTGCAAAAAAAAACTTATGATAACTTAATAATATTTAGTTTATTATAAATATTTATAATATTAATAATTTTTATTCAAATTTAATTAAAAACTTTATTTATAAAATAACTTAATTATATAACAAATTTATAAATACTGTATATTTACTATTATTGTACAATCATTTAAAGAAATGTCATTTCCTGTAATTTTAAAGTTATATTTAATTTTTTATTACTATAAATAAAAAACATATGCAATTTTATTTGTAATATAAAATTTGTAATATCAAATAAATTTAATTTTATAAACATATTGTTTTTAGGTAATGTAACTGCTATTTACTAGCAAACGCTATTATTTATTATTTGTTTAGTTTTAATTTAAGACAAATATTTATGTTTGTAAAACTTTAATGACATGCATGTAATCTATAGCAAAAACTAAGTTATTTAAAATAATTGTCAAAAAAAATTATTTATAATGACAAAAACAATTAACTATAAAATTATTTTATTATTTTTATTACATATTTTTAAACATCAACTATTTATTTAATTATTATTATTATTTGCTGTCCTTTCAGTCTACCATAGCATTATAATAAGTGTTAATTGTTTTTTTTGTTGTGTGAAATGTTAAAAATTTTATCAATTCAGTTAAACTGATAACAAATTATTTCTAAAAATGAATTTTTTAAAAAGTGAAATTAATTAACAGTTTTTTTTTTGTTTTTCATATTATAAGCAAAATGAGTATAACATACGGTGTTTGCCTCTTATTAATATATTATCCAATTATCATTAACGGTGCCATCAATGGATCAAATGTATGATTGCCAGTGTTATAATAATATATTATTTATGTTTTTAAATTTAAAACTATGTTTTTTTTGTTATCTCTAAATTGAATAGACTGAACAAATGACTCAGTTGTTTGGTCGTCCTGTCGGACATAAGACCAATCTGTTGACGGCTGGATATCACGGACCAGCTCTTCTACAAGATGTCCAATTTTTAGAAGAGATGGCACACTTCGACAGAGAGCGCATACCTGAGCGTGTAGTTCACGCCAAAGGTAGCGGTGCTTTCGGTGTGTTTCGGGTGACAAATCCGCAGATCACGCGCTACACTAATGCAGCTTTATTTAGCACTTCGGGAAAAAAGACTGAAGTGGCCGTCCGATTCTCTACAGTTGCGGGCGAAAAGGGTTCGGCTGACACTATATTTGGTGATCCGCGCGGATTTGCCGTCAAGTTTTATACTGAAGAAGGCAACTGGGATCTGGTGGGTAATAATGTTCCCATATTTTTCATACGTGATGCCATGCAATTTCCATCACTAATTCACGCCAACAAACGTAACACCGCTACCGGGCTTAAGGATCCCAACTATCTCTGGGACTTCAACTCATTGAGACCCGAAACACTCAATTTGATTACCTATATGTTCAGTGATTTTGGTATACCTGATGGCTGGCGTCATATGCCTGGGTTTAGTATACATGCGTTTAAATTGGTCAACAGTGACGGTAAGCACGTGTACGCAAAGTTTCATTGGATACCGAAACAGGGCATCAAAAACTTGGACGTCGACACTGCCACACAATTGAGAGGTTAGCTAACATTACATAAATTGTTATTAACTAACTATAATTTCTAAATATTAATAGGCACTGACCCCGACTATGCCAGACAAGACTTGTATGAAGCTATAGCTAATGGAAAGTACCCCTCGTGGACATTGATGATACAGGTTATCACCGAACAGGAGGCACGAAGATTCTCATTTAATCCATTTGATGCCACAAAGGTATACATTTTGACTAAATTTTTAAACATTATAAAACTTTCATAATATCTAATATAGATTTGGCCGATAGATAAATACCCACTCATTGAAGTGGGTGTCATGACATTGAATCGTAATCCGAGTAACTTTTTTGCCGAAGTCGAACAGATAGCTTTATGTCCGGCCAATTTGGTGCCCGGCATTGAGCCGTCACCCGATTTACTATTAGCCGGCAGACTGTTTTCATATGGAGATACTCAAAGATATCGGTATATATTTAAAAAAAAGTTGTTGTCAACGATCACATTATGAAATAAATAACTGTAAATCAATTGATAGATTAGGTTCAAATCATCAGCTGATTCCCGTAAATCGGGCCAAAAATAAGGTAATGGCACCGACACAGAGAGATGGATCAATGCGTACGGATGACAATGAGGGCAATTCGCCCAACTATTTCCCCAACTCTTACAACGGTATCAGCGATAAACAACGGATGATGGACTCAAACATTACGCTCAATGACAACCGTAACGATGAGATTGTTGTTTTCAGATACGACGACAAAGATGACCACAACTACGAACAGCCCCGAGATTTCTACCGATCGCTGACAAAGGATTGGAGGGAACGGTTACATCGGAATATAGCCATGGCTTTGAAGGGCGCCCACGGATTCATCATTGATAGACAACTCAAAGAGATAAGCAAAGTCGACCAGAACTATGCCGATGGTGTACAACAAGAGCTGACCAAAATAATTAAAAAGTATTAATGTTATAATTTATTTAATAATATATTAATTTATTACAAATAACATATATTTTAGAAATTAATTTAATAAACTAATTATTTAGTGTTATATATAAATATAATAATTTTTAACATTAATTTATGTTACTATTTATAGATAATTTATATTAGCCTATATTTTGAAAATAAATTAATACTTAAAAAACAAAATAAATTTATTTCTAGAATATTGTAAATATTGTTTAAAGAATTTTATAAATATTTAATTTTTTTAAAACAAATGAAACCTTGAAAATATCTATAAACACAATAATACAGATGAATAAATATTTTTAAATCTAAAAAGTTAAAATATTTTCAGACATTTGATATCACATAAATTAATTAGACAAGAAAAATGATATTAAAATATTTTTATGAAAATGTTATTTTTTTAAAAAAAATATGTTTACTTAACTTAAATCAATTAGCATAAAATTATTTCTATATTAAACTAATAAACAAATTTATTATGTAATTTATAAATAGATATTTTCTAATGTTTCGTTAAAGTTATTTAATCTTAAATACTTTGAAAATATATGTCACAAAAAAATAATAAAAATGTATAATTGATGTCATAATTAAGTTCAATGTCTACTAATTTTAAGCACATTTATTGTATATATTTTTTGTTGAACAGAAATCCCAAACGACAGACTATTAATACAAAACCAGTAAAAACAGCGACCCGTCGGGTGAAGACATCTTCGAGAAGTGGTTCACGAAAAAGAAGTTCAGACGATAGCAATAATAATGGCAGCGAATGGATAGATAATGGTTGGCGAAGAAGTGGATCGCCGTCTACTAGTAGACGATATTATGGCAATAATGGCTGATTTAATGACTGAAAAAATGACACAATTTTTTTTTATTAAATAAATGCCAAACATATTATTATTGTTAATCCAGTTATGAAGTGATGCTTAAAACAAGTTTAAGTAAAAAATTACTACAAATAATAATCATTTGTATTAAACTTATATTATATATTAGTATTACTATTATTATTAACCAAATTAATATATTGTTGCCTTAAGCTATGTATTTTTTGTTAATTGTTTTAAAAGTTTACAATTATTTTGTTATTGGTTATTATTTATAATTATTTAACAATACTCTTATAATTTATATTGTTTTTTATTTATGTTTGCCATATGAATATGCCATTTATATATTCTATTATTTGTGCCATTTTATAACATTTAAATAACTATTGATTTAATTGTTTTTATTTTGAAATATTGTTTTATAATTTTATGATTTATAGATTGGATTTAAATGCATTTATATAATATATAATACTCTATTATTTTAAAGTGATATAAAATATTTTTATAAAACTTTCTTATATTGTATAAAATTGTATAATAATAAATATGTATTTTAGTTTTATTACACATAAATAAATACATTATGATTTTAAATATAATATTTATACATTTTATAAATTTCATGAATACTTGGCTAAAATATTTATTTTAGGTAACAATTATTTATTTATCCAAAAGATTTATAGTTTTAATAATATTTGAAATAAACAATTTAACGTATAGTATATTAATAACACATCTGTTACAAATTGCAATAGTATTTATATAATTTTTAATTTTATTAATATTCACTCAAAAAATTAGTACAAAATAATAACATTAGAATTTGTTTCAACAATAAAAATATTTTGAAGGTTATGATTACGAAGTTTGTTAAACCAATTTTCTGTATCATTAAAAATAGCATTTATTTTCAAGAATCGTACGACTGATCCATAAAAACATGAGAATCTGTGCCAAAATATTTTTTGTTGTTTATGTGTTCACACAAATCTTTAACTTTGTTTGACGTATACTTTTAGAGAGAGAGAGAGAGAGAGAGAGAGAGAGAGAGAGAGAGAGAGAGAGTATGTCATGTTTTAGGACTATGTATGTGAAGTGACACAACCTGTACACCCACTGAATTAGTTGGCACATCAATGTGTCTATAAAAAGTCAAACTCCGAGTCCCAAGAGCTTTGTCATTCATAGAGGAGATACCAGTATTGTTTAGTGTTGTGTTAAACCATAAAATCTAAAAAAAGTTAGTTAAAATCACAGTTTTTAAATAATAAACTAATTTATATACTATTGTATAAATAATTTGTTATATTTGTCAATTGTATTGTTACTATACATCCTATTCCCTCTCCAGAGAGAGAAAAAATGGTTGGATTTTACGATTACGAGAATGATTGGTACCTTCGAGAGGCACAGAGTCTCAAACATAATAATAAATGGCGTAATGGACGACAAAAATTGATGCGTTTAGACTATAGTCTACGTCAAATGGACCTGGATACACGCAAAAGTCATGAAATCAACTTGCACAATTTTATTAAACCAACTAACTTTGCCGTTGAACAAGTCAACTATAATACCAGGAGATTCTGGAACAAGAGGTTCCCTGTTTGGGCACACTATCGCCAGTTGCATATGGCTGATAAAATACTAGTCTAATATAATATTAAAAACTATCCCTACAATAATTTTATTTAATTATAATAGCTATTTTAATATTAAATCAACTATTATTGTCAACTTGTTTATTGATGTACCCCAAAAAAATAATAGTTTGTGTGTGTGTATGTGTAGATCATTACATTTTAAGGTATTGTTAATTTAAAACTTTATATTATTACTATATATTGTTTTATGATTAATATAATCATTAATTTTTTTTAAATTTTTGTTTGTTTTATTACTTTCCTTAATTATAGATCTCTCTAATCGCTAATTATATAACATTCATAATGAAAAATTCTTATTGTTAAAAATTTATAACAATAATAAAAATTAGTTTTAATTATTTAAATAGACAATTGTAATGTTTATAAAAATCACTGTTTCTATTGTAAAAATATATAATAAAACAACTGTTTTTTAAATTTCAATGTCATATCTATTATGAAAACAAAAATTATTTGTTCAAATGTAACGAATTGAACAATTCATAAATGAATGAATAAATAAATTGATTTTATTATTTTCAATCAAATAGTGTATTCTTTATTCAAACAAAATTAATCATTGAATTGCTTTCATTATTTCAATGACACGAACACATATTAATACATACATACTGTACATACATTCCTCTCTCTATCCTCGCATACCTTTCCTCTCCAATCATAGTATTATTTTGTGCACCAAATGCTCTACAATTTCATCGATCGGTTGCGCAAAACAGTCACAAAAACCAATGACATAACAATTGAGAGAATAATGAACTCAAATATATATATCTATGAGTTTAATATAATACAGAATAGTAATAATAATATTATTCGTATATATACTGTATATAGAAAGTGAACACATGCTATGAAGTTAGCAAAATGTGTTTAAAATTTTAAAAACATTAAAATATATATACCGTATATATATTTATTTAATCAATTGTTTCCTAATTTAAAATAAAACTATAACAAGTGTTTTAATCAAATCAATTATTATCTTAATTACCGTTTAGCGCAACTGTTTTTCAATTATCACTACAACATCATAAAAGTTGTATCACTTTTATCATCAAATAATCTCTACGATGTGTTCATACATACACAATAAAAGCACATAAAAATCCATTGATTTTTCAAATCACAAGTTCATTGCCATAACATCACTCTCTCCGAGGATTTTGTAGGCAACACTTCAGCAGTCATTATAATCACGCGATTTAGTGCCACACATGCCATACATGAACCACACTTTTCTCATTGCATTTTATATGACTCTTTGTTAGACACATGTACTGTATATCTAGAGATATATTGGATATAAAAATTATATAATATATTTATATAAATAAATAAAAATGATATATTTAAAAATGAAAACTTTACATATCCTACTCAACATACTATTGATCAGTCAATCAAATGATGGATTTTTGACAACAAAACAACATCTTTCATGCGATTCTCTAACAAGAATCGATACAATTAGTTATCTTTACTATAAAAGCATAGCATTTGTGTTGACATCAAATGGTTATTATTTTGTCATTTCTGAAGATGATGTCAATAATGATGCCATTAAACAGTTTAAACCGTCGGGTAAAATACCGTATTTGGCCGACTGTTGCGATGCGGCGCTTATCAAGGATATCAATGAGTGCGAGATTGAGGCCGATAACAAGCATAGTATCGATTTGATCAAGGTTAGTTTTTTTGGGACTATAATTTTATTATGGTCAAAATGTTATTTTAAAACTTTATAAATTAGATAAAATTTTAATAAACTTATATTATTTACCGATTTAATGAATTTATTAATGAAAATATTTTTATTATTGTTTGATAATTTTTTTTATAGTTAAACTCAGGCGCATTAAACTACATATCATTTAACATAAGTTCACTTTTTGATGACAGCGATGACAAAAGCAAACAGTGGTCGCATAATGTGATGCCATTCACCAGTGATATCATACTATCCAATGCAGATGTCGATCATCGCAAACCAATTGATGCCATATTCAGTACAGACAATGTCGGCGAAATATTTTTTATTCAGGGTATGCACTGTTGGTTTCAGGATATACAGTCCCAGACATACATTACATTAGCCACTAATGATTGTTTTACTAATGACTTTTGGTCTGTTTGTTTGTTTGTCTGTCTCTTTCTCTCTCTCTCTCTCTCTCTCTCTCTCTCTCTCTCTCTCTCTCTCTCTCTCTCTCTCTCTCTCTCTATTCAATCATTAGGAGAGTATTACTCAGGTATTGAGTTTCAAGAGACGTCGTGTCCACAGTCAAGGGATCAGTTAATTGTTTACAATAAGAGAAGTCTATCAGAGCTTAATGTCGAAGGAAAGATCGATAGCGCGTATTACGACCCGAAACATGGATTAGACGATCACCCGGTGCTGTATCTAACAAATTACAATAATATGCAATACTATAGAGTTGTAATCGATTCATTCAACTCAGAGGTAAGTAATTAATACAATCAATCAATAAATTTAATACAATGTTTGTGTGCTATTAAAAAAAGGGCGGAAAACTGGTGTCACTCAAGACTACTACAGAACAACTGTCCTCTCATCCAATATTTTCTCGAATTGTATGTATTTTTTTAACTTAAAAAATAATTGAAAATTAAAACATATTTAATAATTACCGATAGTGTGCACCCAATGGACACAATATTTCAGCTCAATTATCAGCACAGGATCTCATAACGGGATTCTCTCTTAACATATCATCGATAGTCTATTACAACAAATACTTAAACATTTTTATGAGTTTTATTTTTTGGTACATTTTGCCATAATTAGATTTTTAATAAGTTTTTGTTTATTTATTAATTAAATAAAAAAAAACAGTAACATTTTTTCAATTAAAATTTGTGGTTACATTTCACCTCCAAGTTCTAATTGATATCAATAACAAAAAAGAGATCAACAAAGAAAAACAAAATAAAGTCAAGTTTTGAAAATGTTTATTACATAAGTGAAAGAGTTGATGAAAGTGTTGAAACAATTTTGATACAAAGTATTTATTACATATCAAACAATTTCCAAAAATATTTGTATTAAAACAATTTCATAGTTTTTTTTTGAATAATTTTTTATACAAATTTTATTTAGCATTTTTTAGTGCATGTCTATAGATATAAAAATTATATATAATTGTGTAACTATAATGAAACTGTGTATTATTAAATAATTTAAATAATAATGATAATATTAAAAAATATGTATAATTGTCATATATTATGAATTCAATAAAATTAACGCACAAATTATTTTATATTATAATTAATTTTAGTAATATTTAAAAAAATTAAGTATATCTTATACATTAAATATTTTCATTAAATTAAAATTATAAATTTATAATTAATGTAGATTTTATAAATTGTAAATACCATAACTTAGCACATATGCTGATAGTTATCAATTATATTGATTTATAATTAACAATTATCATTCAGTTTGACAAAAATCTATAAATGAGATAATAGTTTAAAATTATAGAAATTATATGAAATAAATTTGTTTGAAAAACAATTAAATGACTAAACTTTGAATGTTTTTTGGTTTCAATTGATTTACTAAACATAAGTTGAAATGTAATGAAGAATTGGATGATTAGTGGAAATCATAGTATAATTGAAACAACATTTTGAGGACTCGTTTGCAATATCAGTGGAAACTCTGTTGTATTGATTACTTGTGATTAAATGTATGTCTTATTTAGTTGACTTTGTCTTTGCATTACTTATTACTTCCAGAAGTGTTGTTTAAGGCGTAGTGTTTGCCGTATTGTTGGCCGAACTGGTGTTGGGATTGTTTGACTGACTACTGGTGTTTGCATTGGTGTTGACAGAGATGTCGGTTCTGGTATTTTCAATGTTGGTGTCTCTAATGCTGTCATCTTTAGGTTCTTTGGGATCTTTGAGTGTGATTTGTGTGATCTCTTTTCCAATGACTTTAGCACAAGAAGTGGTGTTTTCTTTGTCGCAGTAATTACTCGAAGAGAAGACAGTGACGACTCTTTTGTTTGAAGACCATCTGAATCCATGTTTAATACACTCGTGTGCGCGGATCATATGAGACATATGAATATTGTTGAGAAACCTGTTGACGGCTTCGGCCGTATAGTAATAGCCTGTGGATCGGCTTCTGTTCTTCACAAACAAGATTTTCTTCTGTCTGAGAGTGGACTCTGTATTCGTGGCATCGAAAGTGGTCATCGACTCTATCGGATCGTTCCACAGGAGTTCGTGTGCGGCCATACACTCTTCGTAAGGATCGACCATTGGTTTCGGCCATTTGTTGATCTCTTCGAGTTTGACGAGTGGTTTGCATTGAGGAATACCTCCGTGACAACAGAAGACTGTATTGTCAATGACGGCAACCAATGGCAGGCTTTCAAAGCACTTGTTGATCGCATCCCATATTTGTCGACCCAATTGACGGCCAAATTTGTGGACACATTCCCTGAAAAATGTAAACTCTTTGTTCACTGACCTGACCTCATGATTGCCGCGAATCAATACATATTTGCTTTTGTCGGTCATCTTTAAAGCAAACAAATATACCGTTACCTCAATAGAGTACTTTCCTCTGTCAACAAAGTCACCCAAAAACACATAATTAGCTCCAGATATTTGAGGATCGGATGAGTGACACATCTTCTGGTCGTCTTCATAGATGTCCTCAAGATTTCCGTGAAGATCGCCCAACACATAGGCCGGCGACGACACGTTCACGACGTTTGACTCACCACTCAGTATTGCCAACACTTGTGTACACATATTGGGAACCACTTCTCCCAAGTATTTCCACAAATCTTTGTTCAGTTCTGTCTTTTCTTGCCTTTTGACGTCCGATGAGAACACACGACAAGAGTATTGCTTGAGTCGGTCCAAGATTTCTGTCGGATCCGCTGTTATTCGAGTCATTGTCACTGATCTGAGTAAGTGATGGTCTGATAACTGATTGATTGATACTTTATTGATGGACTGATAACTAACTAATCCAATGCTTTACTCATTGTCTTAAAATTGTATTAAAACTTTATTTTTACTTTATTTTTAATTTAACGACAAAATCATTTTTTTAAATTTAATTATTGTCACTATTTTCAAAAATATTTCAAAAATTTTATTGTATTTAACTTTATAAGCAAATTGATTATTACATCAATTGATAAATTAATTACCGGTTATAATACTTTATTATTAATTTTATAAAATGTTTTCTTATCGATTGCTGTTATTTGTATTATAATAAGATATAAATAATATAATAAATTTTATATTTAATAATCAAAAAACTAAATTTTGAATATCAAAAGTCTTATAGATTTTATACCAATAAATAATCAAATCTAAATTATAAATTGTTTGACAATTCAATTGAAAATTTTATTTAGTATTTAGTATTTTGTTATTACATAAAATAAATACTTATTTAGACAGTAGTATATAATTCAATACTGTTTCACATTTGATGGCATTTATTTTGTACAGTAATATAAATCGCGTGTTAATTAAAATAACAAAATATTATATTTCAACCGTGAAATGCCAACAATGAGACACAGATTCATCAAATTTATTGCAAAAATTAATTTGAATTTTGATTTTTAATGATTAAATTGAGTTGTGTATAAATATAAGTTTTATTGACAGTTAAATTAAAGTATAGTTATATACTATAATTGTCTGCAAAAGTTAAAACTCTTGTGTTTATAAAATGACTGAAGATTTGAAAAAAGTGATGAATGACCACAAGTCAAGACAGGAGAAGATATCGGACGCAGATTTTCAATCGAGAAATCAGGCATTTAATCTAACTTTCAATGAGTTTAAGACCAAACGTAACGAAGTTATCGAACAAATCAACAAATTGAAGACCGAAAAGACCCGACTTATCAAAGATCTCATTGATTTAGACAATAGAACCGATGAAAGATTGATACAAATGACAAATAAGGAAACTGGAAGACAAAGCGGTCACAACGTCCCTGACATTGAACGCCACTATCAGGACAGTAGGTCCTCTTTGGTGAACTCTTATTGTACAGAAATGGAGGCCGAGTTAGACCAGAGAGTTACCAATTTTAAGGAACGGACCAGACGTCTGGATCTCAACTATGGCATGGATTCAACAGTCAGTTCGGGTTCTGGTAATCAACAACAGAAAACTTCTCTCAAGAATCGACAGAAAGAGTTGTTGGAACTAAAAGTAAAAAATAGCGAATCATTTGTTCAGCGAATAGCAAACATCAAGAAACCAATTGAAGAAACTTATCAAGAGATCGAAGTAAACAACAAGAATGAAACCGAAGAGATCGACAGATTGTATAAAAAGATGCGAAACAAAGATCAGGAGGAAAGGGATGAGACGACTAAAAGATTGATTCAAAAACTTAAGAATGACGAAGAAAAAGATGAACAACAAAGACAAAAGAAAGAATCAGATGATAGAAAACACAAGAAAGAATTGGATGATAAAAAACAGAAGAAGAATAAGGAAGAAGAAGACAAAAAAAAGAAGAAAGAAAATTGATGTCATTGTTGGAAATCTCTCACAATATTTGTTTATATTATTTAATGTCATATTATTTCTTAATTTATAATTTGTCTGATTATTATTACATTTATATTTTACAATATGACTATAATTTATCTTATTTTGAACTCTATATGTAATTTAACTATTGATATAATGATTGTATTTATTTTAGTGCTAAATAAATAAAAAATAAATAATTACTAGTAGTTATTATTACTATTATAATGTCATATTTTCAATAGTTATATCTATTTTTTAATAATTTATTTAAATATAAAATAAATGTTTTTATTTTAAAATATGAATATTACAAACTAATGGTAATGGATTTATTTTCTAAATTATTTTAACAGTTATTTTTAGTTTTTACATATTATACAAAATTCATTATTATAATAATTATTTATAATTAAAAAACAGATTTATATTTGATAATAAATGATATTGAATAAAAAATATCGTATATGTAATATTATAAGTTATATATATTAACAAGTGTTTAGTTATTTAAAATTATGATTAATTAAAAAAAATTATATAAATTAATAAATATAATTAGTTTAATATTTAATAAAGTTATTGCTAAAAATACATCGTTTAATATCAAATAGAAAGATATAATATCTATATATAATTATAAAATTTAAACTTTTATAAAAATTCATGTATATATTCAATATATTTAATTAAAAATCAGATCTACATTACAACGGTTTAACGTATATTCATATATGAGATAAATATAAATAAATGAAAACATTTTGTCAGTTGAGTGACATTTTGAGAAAACGACTTTCCTCTACCAGACAGTTGAGTGTTGTGTTCATATCATTGATGACCATATTTGCTGATAATTGCGATGATGTCGATCTACAAGACATTGCAGATATGGCTGACGCCGGACGGAGATACAGCTGCTGCTGAGGTATTGCTTGTGATAGTTGTGGCTGTAGAGGCTGTTGTTGTGCCTGAACCGTACCGTTCAACTGAGGCTTCGGTGTCGGACAGGTAGAGCTGACCACTTTGCATGAGCCGGCTGGCGATAATACATCTCCGGGACTCGCGGGCTGTCCATTAGTAGTCAGATTGCCGTTTGTGGTGGCAGTCTGTTGGTAGACATAATCAAGTGTTCGCTGATAGGTATCTGGTCTCATGTTATTTCTATTAGAGGCACCGGTAGCAACGGCAGCACCAGCACCAGTACTCTCAACACTACCGCATTGTACATCTGGATTATTGGTCTGGTTTTGGCACTTTGTCACTGATGTTGAGCCCATCGAGTGATAATTGTTTTGTAAGGTCGTGTTATTATTATTTTGAAGGCACTTATTCATCACAGCTAAAGAAGTTTGTTGTTGTTGTTGGGTTTGAGTCTGATTTTGTGTGACAACTGTCGGACAACCATTTGATGGCATAACCGAATTGTTGGCTATATTTGTCACATTTGCCAGAATATTCTGGTTCTGATTGTTCTGAAACTGTTGTCTGTATAACATCTGATTTTGCTGCCATTGAATCTGTTGCTGTTGTTGTTGTTGCTGCTGTTGCTGTGCATTCATGTATTGACTCATATATTGTTGTTGATATTGGTTTTGATTTATAAATTGTTGGTTCCTTTGACTCCAGTTCCAAGTTTGTTGCATTTGCTGCAACTGTTGCTGACTTTGCAACTGTTGATACCATTGCTGGTGTTGTTGTTGTTGTTGTAGCTGTTGTTGAAACTGTTGCTGATTTACACCCATTTGCTGATACTGTTGTACCATTTGGTTGCCTAATATTAAATGAAATAAATTTTATTATAAAAAGTCAACAACAAAAAAATCTATTAATAAATTTCTAATAAATACCAGTTGTCTGATTCCAAGCAATTTGCTGTTGAAATTGATTATAATTGTTTGCCATTGGGTTTGCACTAAACGTATTGATATTTTGTCTATTATTAGCTGATTGATGGCTATTCCAATAGCCATTATTAGCAGACATTGTCTGTGTCTGTACAAAGGCATTGTTGGCAGTCATCGGAAGTGTCCGATTGTAGGCAGTATTGACGGGTTGAGCATTGGTTTGAGCCATAATTGCTGACTGATTGACAACTTGAGGTCTGAGACCAGTTGTCATTGTATTTACAGAATTATTATTATTATTAGTATTATTTTGGACGGAAACGGTGTTTGTGGTGTTGTTTGATATAGTTGTCGTATTATTGGTATTGTTGAGCATAGGTTTCATTGGACTGTTCATTATGTTTGTCTGATTTGGCGACGGCTGAGGTTTAGGCATTGGAGGAGACATCATTGACACCGAAGCGGGCGATGTCTGCATCTGCGGTGATAGAAGTTGTGTTGGCGGCGACATCACCTGTTGCGGTGACATTACTTGAATCTGTGGTGACATCAGTGGCATTTGAGGTGACATTATCTGTGTCTGAGGTGACATAACCTGACTCTGAGGTGACATTACTTGAGTTTGCGGTGACATAACTTGACTCTGGGGTGACATAAGTTGTGTCTGTGGCGACATCATCTGCACAGATGCCGGAGTTGATGGTGAAAGCATTGGTACGGACGGCGCCCTAAACTCGTTTTGATTGTTATTTTGTAATAAATTAAGATTATTTGGAGACGAATGCACTTCTATAGGTGGCAGTGGTGGTGGCGGTGGCGGTATCACAGCTCGGGTATTATTATTGCTATTATTTTTGCTACAATTTTTTGGCACAACCTCTTGTTGAGTGAGTTTTGTTAGTGTGGTGTCATTGGTAGCACCGGTCGACGCATTACTAGACTTTTCGTTCAGGTATTGAACCTAAAAAAAGGTTAAAAAAATAATAGGTTAGTATTGACATTATTTAGCATTTATAAAATTATCACTAATGGACTGACCATATCATCCGGTAGTAGCATATTATTCATTGTCTCGATTGGCTGATCGGAATCGCATTCATCGAGTGTCACATTTTCGTTGGGATGATTGGATGCATTCTCAGTAATACTTGGAGGCGGAACTGCAGTACGCGCCCGACGGGAGCTGACACTTGATCCAACTGATATGCCCGATGAAACAGATAGTCCCGATAGATAGCAATCGTTGGACAGAGCAATCGATTGCGGTTGAATTACCAGATTGTCGGTTTGTGTTAAATGTTTGGCAGTGCTTCGGCTTGTATTACGCCGATTGGCCGTAATGTCCGAACTGCTGGCGTCTGACGAGCGCCGGGATGAGCCGCCAATAGATATCGGGTCGTAGGACGTGCATCGAATCAGTTCACCAGTAGAAGTGAGCACCATATGTGGACCCGACGAAGAGGAAGTCGTCAAATGGGACGATGTCTGAGAGTTTTCTGACCCGAGGACAGAGCTATAGAAAGAATTGGATGTAATACTAGATGTACTGCCCTGTCGTATAAGTTTTGATTTATTGCTTTTCTTATTGTTTTTGCCGTTTGGTCCCAACATTGCGTTATTGCCTATAATTGAGACATTTATTTTTGAAAAAAACAAAACAAAAATAAAGTTAATTAAGTAAAGGCTTCCAATAATTTCACGCTTTGTTTCTTAATTAATACCTAAATGTTTGTTATTTTGATTATTATTATTAATATTGCCATTAATTGATGAATAATTGCTATTCTTGTTTTGTGAGCTATTTCTGAAAAATGGTATCCAATTTGTGGCCGATTTTATGCCTGATTTGATAGCTTTGATGTTATTCTTGAATGTATTCCTCTGTCTGGAAACAACTCGCGATTGTAGGCCAACAACACTGTCGGACTCGATATCAAACCTGTTGAATGAGTTTTCGGGTTCAACGGTAATTGTGTCGGATTCGACCGCTGTTGACCAGTCTTGATCGACAGTTCCGATACAAGTGGTCGACACGGAGTTATCGCTGATAGGCTGATCTAAACCATCGCATGCTATGTCGCACATCGGATGGTTAGTCGCTGCCGATGTCGGTGTAGAACCTGAGTTAGAGGCCGATCCTAATTATGATTTAATGGAATTATATTAATTATTTTCTACTTCAATAGCATATCATTATTATCAACATACCTGAGCCACTCGATCCAGTGGGTGAGTTACTCTCGGACGGAGATTTGTTTGATCCGTTATCCGGCGATCCATTGGGTGAACCAATGAATTCGGATTTAAAATTATCGGTAATAATAGTATTTCCTTTAGGACTGTTGTTCTTTGGCGACGAACTATTGCCATTGCTATCACTCTTGTGGTTATTACTATTATTATTATTGTTGTTATTATTATTATTATTATTATTATTAGGACTTCCCTTATGTTTTTTATTTGCGTAAACTTCTGGTCCGTGCACTGTCTTCACATGTTTCCTCAGCGATGACGGGTCAGTATATTTTTTGACACAACCGGGCACTTTGCATACATATGGCTTATCATTAGAGTGCGTCCGGTTCTGGTGTTTGGCCCGATCCGAGGCGTTGCTGAACGCCTTTGAACAGCCGGGAAACTCACACGTATAGGGCTTTTCACCCGTATGTGAGCGCAAATGGGTCTTCAGATTCTCCAATCGCGAGTATCTCTTCACACAACCTATAGATTTATTGAGACAAAGAAGAAGTAAAATGAAAACGGTTTTTGATGATTACATGACTGAGCAAAGTGTTCAAAATCACGACTAACTAATCAGAGTTACTAGGAATGGGAGCTGACTATCTCTAAATGTCTAACCTTCCCCTAATGACTAAACAATATATATAATATATATATATATATATACCGTACCTTCAAATGTGCAATTGTATGGTTTTTCTCCGGTGTGCCGTCTCATGTGTACGACTAACATATACTGTGCTTTGAATGCCTTCCTCTCACGCGAACATTCCTTCCATAAACAGACAAAACTTCTTTTGTTGGCCGCAATGTGATCTCCGATATGCTTCACGAGTTGCTCTTGTGTTTTAAACTCAAGCCTACAGTCATCCCAATGACAGTTGGTCTCAATAAAATCAGGTTCGTTGTGATCGTCGCCATTGTCACCATTAGCGTCGCCGTTGTCCTCTAGTTTTATTTTGGGTCGGTTAGTGGCACCGGTCTGTACATCCTGATCACCAACAGTGGACGAAACTACATTAGAAGCAGTCTCACGGCCCGAATGCGGTGCTCCGATACCAGCGGCTGCCGCCACCGCTGCTTCAAGTTTGGACGCATGACTGGACAGTTGGTGGCTGTGAATAAGCGGTGATGGATGATGCGGTACAAATGCCGAACCGGTCAGATTAGCCGTATTCGGCATCAACGGTGTCGGCTGAGGTAGTAATATAGGTGATCGCATCAGATGATGCAGATGTGATGGTAGGACAGTGTGACCGCTTGCTTGCATACCCAGGGATGGGCTCAATGTTCCTGTTTATCAACACATTAAACAAAAATATACCGATTATTAACATTTTGTTTTGTTTTTTCGCTAACAAATTAACGTCTAGTTTGATATTTATTATGTGTCTTAATATTATATTTAAATATATATATATATATATATATATATTGTATGATATGTGATATGAGTTTCATAAATAATAATAAAAAAATGTACAGATATTTTTGTTTCTGATTTTTAATAGACTTATGAATTTTGAAATGCAATTTTGAAGTTTAATTAAAATGTTTATTATCTAACAAAACAAAGATATTGTATATTTATGTTATTATTTGTGTATAAATTTATTGCTCGCTTAATTGGTGCCGAAATTAATGCCCAGAAGAGAGAGAGAGAGAGAGCAAAATAGTTAAGCATATAATATACTTTTCACTTACATAATAATGGTATACATTATAATAATAATATCATAAAAGAGAGTCAGAAATAAATAGGATTTTTTTTACTCGTTGTTGTTATGTTCGAGAGTTGTATGAATTGGATATCAAAAAATACATTGGAGTAAAACAACACATAAATTGCTGTATGTTTTTGGCTATTGAAAAGTGTCTGTAATTTGAAAGTTCATTGAATAGAAAGTGAGAGCATTGTTATGTTGTGTGTGTGTGTGTGTGTGTGTGTGTGAGCACAGGTATATTATAATGTATGAGCCATGAAAATAAAAAGAGATGAGATGTTATTTAAAGAAATTATTGAGTGAATAGTTATGACCAAAGATGTAGAGAGAGAGAGAGAGAGAGAGAGAGAGAGAGAGAGAGAAGAAAAAAGTTGTGACGAAAACAGGTTTTGATTCAGTAATTTTTGCGTTCAATTCTCTTAATAAACTTATTATATAATAAATATATACCTTTTATAGTATATCTATGGTATGTATAGATATTTTTGTGTATATAATGAGAGAGAGCCCGAAAATGATATGGAAAATCAAGTTTCTCTATCGGATAGTTATGTTTGAGTTTTTTTTAAAAAAAAGTTAAGTTAAAGCACAGGAATGTTATTTAAGAAAAAAAGGTATTTATTTCCTAACAAAAACAGGGAATGAATTTTCTCGGAGCGAGTGATGAAAAACGAATCACTAATTAGTTGTGAATAAAAATAAAGAGAGAAAAGTATTTTTTTTTGTTGAATACTTTTTTTATAAGTAAAGTAAAAATTCTTTATATACCATATAATATGTTATATCAATGTATTATATGATATAATATTAATATAGGTATATACTGTTTGTGTGTATGTAATGTTTTTATGACTTAATTTATTGTTTTTAAAAAATAAACTTTTTGTTTGTTTGTTTGTTTATTTTTTGTTACTCTTTCACTGTCTAAGAGGACATTTGAAAGATAGCAAACATTGATAGGATAGACAACGCGATTAAATCTAAATTTATATATTGTAATAAATATTTTTTTTTCGGTTATTATTTTGTTTTCAGTGTTGTTTGATAACACTTTTAAGTAATGTGAGATAAAATTATTTAATTTTTTCTCTGTGTAAATGTAATGAATAAAAAAATGTTGTTATTTTTAGTTATGTTAAAACAATTTGTTTTTAATTTCGGGTATTCAATGGCATACAAAAAAAATGTTTTTTTTTGGTGTGCACTATACAGGTATATCACTTATGTTTCTCTCATTTAATACTGTTTTTTGTTGTTGTGTTTTATTTGCTAATGTGATAATCAAAAAGGTGTAGATAAGCCCCGAAAATAAAAATCCATTAAAATTATATGGCATTTATCCATGAATTCAAGTTTTAAAAAATTTTATTACTATTAATAAAATTGATGTTATTTTTTTGAGAGAACACGGCTTCTTTACATTTTGAAAAATATTTGACAAAAAATTATTTATAATAGATATCTCATACACTTTTTTTTAAGTAAAATATTATTCAGTGGCAAAACATATACTGTAATAATAAAATGCAGAAATTAAAAAAAGTTATTTTATTTTATAATAAAAATAAGTTCATTATCAATATCGTGTTATTAAATGCCAATGATTTAATTTTGTTTTATCAGTCTCTCTCTCTTTATATATATAAGATTTATTTAATTTATTTAAAATCTCATGTTTTAATAATTAATTTCTGAGAGAAAATTTCCAATCTATAAGATATATATATATATTATAATTAATTTTCAATTTAAATATATTGATATATCTTTTTTTCCCAAACACTATCTCGAGTTATAAAGGAAGAAAAAAAAGGTTTTAAAAGATTAATTTATTTTTTTATTATTTTTACTTTTCTTTTACTTATTTTTCAAAAGAGACGCCTCTGATTTGAAAATATTTCGCCAGTAATTTGCATTTGCCATTCAAATGTATAGTCAAATTGCTTTACATATACAGTATACCTGTATATATACTGTATATATATATAAAGTGCAAAAAAACATTGAAAAATTGATTGATCATTAAATTGGCTGAAAAAGACAGTTTCGGTCAACGAAAAAGACATACATTATTATTATTATTTAGAAGAGTATAAAAAATAGTTTTTTTTATTTTCGGTTAAAAAACACATATAAAACATTTAAATTAGCGACAAAAATGCTGAGATATAGTTTTTTTTATTATTTTTGTATTTATTTAATTGGAAACCAATGTTTTTATTTTGCTGTCAAATGATATGCATATTTAAAAAAATCGTTATTACAAAGTAAAGGGATGACAGGACAACACTTGAGGACAGGGATTGCAAGAGTTACTGATATATATATATATAGACAGAGAGAGAGAGAGACAAAGAGGAAATAAATAGTAATTTTAAATATAAGCAAATGAGAGAAAGAGAGAAATGAAAAGCAAAAAAAAAAATCAATAAAATGAGATTTTTTATGAGTATATAATCAACAAAAAACATCTCTTTTTTCTTGTGGTTAATTCAAAGAGATTGAAACTGACGATTGAAATCATTTGAAATTCATTTGATTAATTTGTTTGACAAAAAATAAAATAAAATAAAAAAATATTATATATTTTCGTCGTAAAAATTCAATTTTTTATTTATTTGAAAAAAATGTCAATAAAATAAAAATATCTTAACCACTGAAATATCAATGATTTCCAACTATACTATACTATATATATTAAATTAAACGTTTTAGCTCTAGATTTCAATCAATCATTTGATATTATCTATGATAAAAACGATTGATAATAATTAATTTAAAATTAATTTTTTTTAATAATTTTAAAAAATTATCAAACTCTATATCATATCTTACATTCTATGAGATACATGCAGTGAACATTATAAATAGATTATACTGTATATACATATTGTGTGTATATTTATAACACATAGTCATTTGAAAAGTTGAAAAATCGTTTAAATCATTTGCTTCAATATTATTACTATTAATACTTATATGATATTATATTTATAGTTGAAGGGTTCATGTGTGTGATAAAATTGTCGACTAAAAATATATTATTTTTTAGGTAATAAAATTATAATGATAATTTCAATCAAATATTTAGTATCTTGTTCAATAAAAAAAACTAGTAGCAATGTAATAATAATATTAATCAAAAATCATAATGAAAATAAATATTAAACATAAATTTGGAAAAATTTCTATATATATATAAATATTATTAGTTTATGTGAGTCACAAAAATGTCCAAAAAATTACTGAAATAAATAATAATAATAATAATACTAAAAATAAATTCTTTAAAATAGAAGCTTATAATAAAATATATTATATTTTTGATTTGTTTAGTGAAGTTTTTTTTTAAGGAGACAACTTTGGGGACAGGGAGTCCTTATTAGGGAATTACACTAAAATCAGTGGGGAATCATATTTATACTGTCATATGAAATATGAAAGACAGTACCAGAAAAAATTTATACGAAATATTTTTTGAAATATAATGACATGTCCTTCTCATGTCAACTCATGTTTGGGTCAAAACTCAATGATAAGTTCAATGAGATGTTTGCTTAACTCGACATAACAAACAAACAAAAATGTTTGTTTATTACAGTATAGATGTATAAAGTAGTGTAAATACATAGAGGTATTTAGTATAATAATAATAATCAGCTATTTTGTTGACCATGAAATTTCATTAAATCAAATGTTTATCTCTTGCGGCACTATTACCGGCATAATTATTGCATAATTAGATGGTTATGCCCTAAAACAACAACAACAAAATAATAATAATACTGTAAACCCCTTCCCCCTTATAACTAGTTTGTTATATTAAAAAAAAACTTTGAAGTGAGATATATATACACTTTTAAAAAAATAAGTGTAAAAATTATTATATATATTATATAACTGAGAGAATTGAGAGTTTAAAAATTAAACTAAGCGTTGATTTAATATTTTATGCCTTCAATCGCTTTAATAGCCGAGGAGTTTATAATAGGAATGCATAAGGAATGGGTATATACTGTACTGTGGAGTAGGACTTGATTTTATGTGAGAAAATATAAGCTAATGATTAGGTTTTAAAACAGAAAGAGAGAACTGAAACATAATTAATCGGTTGTGTCTTAAAGCTATTTTAGCACCAAATCTATGAACAAAATATGTTTCATTTCATTATGTTTTTATGACACTCTCTCACATATACTGTATATGTTGTCGACTGTGATAACTAAATGACAGATATCTTTTGATGTTTTTTTTATTTCAGTCAAATTATCGCTTTAATAATTGCAATTGAATTTTTTTGTATAATTTTTAAAAAAATCACACGACATAATAGCTTTAAGATTATTGTATTTAATAAATGTTATATATATATATAACTAACCGGCACTTAGATGACCATAGGATCCGCTGGCACTGGAAGATCGGGAACCGTTCATAAAAGAGACCAATGAATTGGGTGAGAATCGTACGATAGAGTTGATGTCAAAGTCGGAATAAGGCGACGCCGACAGAGCTCGCTTGCGACTGGAGGTCAATGCACTGGCGGCCGATGTTGGCGCCCGAAACGGGCTATCAATGGTAGTCGATAATGAGGTGACTGAGGCTCCATAAGCGGCTGCTGCGGCCGCCAGTGTGGCCTCGTTGTGCAGGTGATGATGAGTGGGATTGAGATCCTGGCTCTGGCCCGATAGGGCTGCCATCGAGGCAGCCATACGTTGGTTGAGTAGACTGACCTGTTGTAAGTAATCATTGTGTAATGCTGTCGGTGCCACCAAATCTGTGCGTAAATATCAATTAAAAAATTATTTACAAATTATTAAACAAATCGTTTGTTTGCTGATGACTTTTGATAACTTTGTTATACAAATTATAAGGCAATACATGATTTAATAATTTATTGCCTAAAATACTGTTTTTATATTATAATAACTTTATTGAAGTGTAACGTTATATAGACAGCTATATAGATAGAGGGATGCAATTAAATTATACGTGAAATACAAGAAAAGGTATTTCTAATGCTTTATAAATATATATAATTTATATATATTATATATATCGTATAAGTATTATAAGGTTTAAAATATTTATAAAATAAAAATTTATGCCATTTTGCCGTAAAAACTATCCCAAAAAATAATTAATTATAATTTTGGTTTGGGCTCAGGGCTGGCGCACACTTGCCTTAAGATATAATTATTATTAAGACATTCTCTATACATATTACACTCAACTCATCTTTAAGTTCACGATCTCTCTCTCTCTCTCTCTCTCTCTCTCTCTCTCTCTCTCACCTAATAAAGAAATACACAATATATGAGAGTTTGGGTTTAACTTTTAAAAAATACAATTCAATGGTAAGTTTAAAAGCAATAAATATTGTTTTCTTGTGTATGTGTTTCCAGTCATAGCATATATTCACTCCCTTTAAATGTATTAATAATAAATCTCCAATACTATATGTAGTGGGTATTATGTACATCAAAAATATATAAATATAGATATATATGAAAATTGAACTTTTGATATATAATACTTTTATTTATTATGTTGTCATTATTATTAGTATATTAATATAGCTCTCTCTCTCTCTCTCTCTCTTCAATTTTTTCCATATGTTTTATAATATAATAGAGCTTTTAATGTATTTATTATAAGTCTCTCTTTCCTCTCCTTTCATATATGAAAATAACTGAATCTCATCTTCAAGTGTCTAATATTAACTCACTTTAGAGTATTATATGTATAAATATGTAATAAAAAACAAAATTAAAGGCAGTGACTATAAATTTTTTGGAAAATTTAAGTTAATGGGACTAAAGTGCATGTACTTTAAATTAAAATTGCACTTTATATCGCTTATAGACAAAGTTTAGCTAATAAATATTATACCGTATATACACGTTATATACAATACACTTCGTATATAAAATTAGATAATAAAGACTTCATAAACACATATTAAGTTATAAATGCAATAATAATGTACACAAAAAATATCAAGTGCTATACAAATTTCATTTTCATTACATAAATAAATATAATATAATATTGTCTTATATTTTTATTTATTATTAGTATATATCACTCTTATTATTGCTAAATGTATAATACATTTTTTCTTCCATAATATTTACTAATAAAAATTTCATTTTGTGTTTATTTATTTCACTTGAAAATATGTTATGTTTATATTAGCATATATTTAATGACACTTTTCAGAGAAAATACATTTTTTAAAAATGTTTTGCTATATACAACATTTATTTTTTTAATATAAATAATATGCCCATTAGTTTGTTGTTGAAACAACAAAATAGTGTATATTTGATACAAAATTCAATTATTATGATAACAAACTTTTTCTCTAATAATGTTTTTTAACTAAATAAAGAAATCATTTTAAGAGTAAACTTTTGATTTTTTTTCAAGTATTAAAACTAAATATAAAAATATAATTTTTAAATATATTCTCTGCCAGTGATTAATATTTGTTTGATTTAATGTTTGCAATATTGGGTGTGATATGAAAATTGCTAACTTTTTTGTTTTATAAAATAAACCATACGATAGATCACATGTGGTGTAATTAAAATTGCTAAATATCATACAGTAGTACCCACAAAAAAATCAAGTTTTTTAATTTATAAAATTAAATAAATATAACGTTATTTCAAATATGCATAAGCTATATATCAATAATATAACATTAGTTGAGATATAAATTATTATACTTTAATATCTCTATTGACTAATAGTTGTGTGTAAATCAAACAATTTTTCAAATAAAGCAAAATAAATAGCAATCAGAGAAATAGTTTGTTTTATTTAGGAAAAGACATCACACGAGACGTGACACGAGACCATCAAAAGAAATTTTTAGAAATAATTTTTTTCTCTTAAAAAATATTTTCTCTCAGACTTTTATACTGTATATACTGTATAAGGACTGGTAGATAGCGATTGTTAGGTCTGAAAAAAACCAGTGAAAAATATCCCGTAAAACCTTTTTTTCTCGTTTCGTATAATTGAAAGCTAATAGACTTAACTAAAGAAGAAGAATAAGAAAAAAAAACTTTTTAAAAGATAAGATTATAATAATAATGTTTGACTTTTCTCTTTCTACTACTACTACTAATATTATGTTTATTATTATGAAAAGTCCAATAGAGAGAGAGAGAGAGAGAGAGAGAGAGAGAGAGAGAGAGAGAGAGAGAGAGAGAGAGAGAGATGTTAGCAAATGGCAAAAATCGTGCAGAAATCGCTATTTTTCATCTCACAGTCCCCTCTCAGGTCCGCAATTAGTATTGATTCCCAAAAAAAAATAAATGTTTTTTAACTAACATTTAACTTATAAAAATCAGCGAAAGACCCGACTATTGGTTTTAAAACTGAGACTTTTTAAAAAGTTTACATTAAACTACTCTTTTATATTATTAAGCAATTATTGCATATTATTGTTATGTATTTTTTAGTTAGTCTAGTGTTGTATTTGTGTTGCTTTAGCTGTGGTGTTGAATATGAGTTTTGTAGTTAACCTTTAGTTTAATGTCACGAATTACTGGCAATTATTACAATAAACTAAACTAAACTACAGTACAAAAATAATAAACTATTGAATGAATAAATAAAGTTATTTTTTTAATAATAAACAAATAAATATATAAACAAATAAATTATATGCTATAACTTAAATGATTATATTATGGGATACAAGAATTGCTTCGTAACTTAATAGGAAAATTCTTGTGAACCAAAAAATTAGAAAAATATATGCAAACCGTTGGTTTTGAGGAAACACTATATATATATATATATTAATACAATAATATATATGTTTTATTCAACTTTTTTTTGACTAATAATAACCTTTTGTCAAACATCACGCCGTTCAGGTATTTTATGTGTTGTTTGTGTTTATATTGTATATATAGGTATGATATATACAATACAAAAATACAATTTGAATATTGGCTCCCAAAAAACATGTATTAAAATACATATTACTTATATTTCAAAAATTAGTATATAAAATAGCTATTGATTTGCGAAAGATTTATTTTTTTGCTGTTGAATTTCAAGATTTACATATTGAGTGGTAAGAAAAACTTGAAACTTTTTAATACATTGTATCGCAAATATATATATATATTATATAAATATATTTATTATATTTCTCTCTATCATTTCAATGGGTGAATAAATCATTTTCTACTTTACATTACATTAAGTCATAACTAGTAAGAGAGAGAGGGATTGAACTGAAAAATATTTATTTTTTCTTCTTTTAACTTTATTTTGTTTTATTTATAATACTATATATAATATATAATATATACTATATCTATATACTGCTCTCTCTCTCTCTCTCTCTCTCTCTCTCATTCTGTGTTAACGTTTAACTAATCATAAATCGTGACATAAGTTTAATTGAAATATCAAATCCACACAACAAAACAACAAACAAAATATAAAAGGTTTGTTTTAATTTACATTTCAATTACTTATATATAATATAACTTATGTATAGTTTTTTATATTTTGCATTACAATTGAGAGTATCAATTCAGAAAATATTCTGAAAAATAATTAATGTATTGTTTTGTGATATTTCTTATGAATAAAAAAACAGCAAAAAAACTTAATTTTTTTAATGAATTTTCACAAACCGATGTTCAGTGTTAAAGACATTTATATTATGCGTTATATGTTTTAAAGTCTTTCCCATAACTTATACCATAGCAGACATATAATAATAATAATAATAATATACTAATATTAACTTTAAATAATACTAAAGTCTATGATATACAACATCTGATGAGTGAAAATATTTTTGTCACTAATTTTTTCTCTCATTATCTCTTAGTCTTCAGTCTTTGTGTCAAAAAAAATTTCGATGAAATGCTTTAAAACGGAAATTGTATTTTCAATGTGTTGTGACCAACACTTATGGGGGAAACTTCATAAAGCACTTCAAATAACATATGAAATTTAGTGAATGAGTGACTACTGAGTTAGTGAGTGAGTAACTGACTGTGCGGGTGAGTGACAAACCATGATGTGAGGGATTCAGTCATTGGTTCGCATTTTGTTAGGCGACAAATATCTCAAATATCTTTCATCATCAGTCGTATCCTATTTTTTTCTCTCAATCTAAACCATGGACTCAATTATTTAGTTATATAGTTGATTGCAGTGTAAGAGATAGATAGAGAAAGAAAGAAAGAGAGAGACATTCAATAACATTGAAAACATAAATTAATGGCAAAAAATCTTAGCCCTAGAAAATAGGTTCCGCTATTTGAATGCTATGTGTTTATAACAGAGAAATACATATGAATAGAGATTGAAATTGAAAAAAATAACTTTTTTTGTGAAAATTTGATTATAAGTTACATCTCATTATTATTGATACTTTATTTCAACACAAAAAACATGAAAAAACATAACAAAAGAGTCCCCAAAAAAATAAATAGATAGATATATAACTTATGAAAACTTTTTGTTGTGTTGTGTGAAACCTAACATTTGTATGTTAGTGTCAATGCATATGATATACTGTACACAACAACAGTCGGCACTCTCGGGTCCACCCAATGGGCCCTCAAAAATGAAAGGACGATCCAAATGAATAGTTGGATTGCTTAGTAAACTTTTAACAACTTTGTTTGTCGCACCCGTATGTATACACAATTGACACATACATATACACCATATAACAGATGACCCAGTAGTGTAGATAACCAATTAAGGGCATAATTTATAGTAATGTATCAATACATAGTAATTTAGGAGGATAAAAAATAATTAAATTAAACCAAAAATATTTTTGGTGTACCATATTTTCACATAGAATCTATTGAGCTATAAAAAAATGTATAAAATATATTTGACATAACTATCAAAACAATTGTAAATCAATTATTAATTAAAATTCAATTCATCTTAATTGAAAAAAGCATAAGTGACACATACAATATATATACAAAGACACACACAAACACACATTACATTACATTTGAATTAGTCTCCCAGTGATGAGTAAGATAACACTTGTGGTAATGTAAGCCCGGCTCATATTATCATTATTATATACAGTACAGTCAAATATAAAAAGATATCATATGAAAAACACAACATATGTTTAGAAATGAGTTGGTGAGTGAAAGAGCGGTTAAGAGACCTGGATATCCATATGATATGTTTGTGTATGTATTGGGTTATAATGTGAAATCCTATGAAAACACTGGTGTTGTGTTGGGTTTATATGTAAATAAAGAGAGAGAGAGAGAGAGAGAGAGAGAGAGAGAGAGAGAGAGAGAGAGAGAGAGACTGATGCACTCATCCATACGGTAATTGTGAGGGTCTCTCAAATTGTATAATTATGGTTTACTATAAGCAAAGTGAGCCTTAAGTGAGAGATATAAGAGAAAAGACGTTTGCGTTTGAAATCTTTGTTACACATAATAAAGAGTATACAACACAACAGTCCCGTTGAATATACGGCTTTTCCTGGAATAATAATAAGGGGACAGTCAGTCAGCACAAGCTATTGGAGAGAGTGACCGGAATTTATGACCAAATAAATTGCTTATAAATTATGGGCTGATTATAAGGTTTTCTAAATAGGCGTTTTACTTTGTGAGGCACCACCGGGTCATCACTTGAAAATTGTATCGTAAATATTGACAACATATTGGGCGCACAGGCATGTGTCAGGACAGGCATGAATTGATATTACCAATGAAAAAAAAAATTCAATGAGTGAACAAACGGGTGGTTATATGACAATGTTAGCCACTGTTTGTGTTAAGAAATTGTCATTTAAACTCTTCAATCACTTAATAGTTATCACTATTAAGACAAATACAGTAGCGTAGACGGCGCCCACATTCAACTTTTTAACATTTATTTACTCATTATATCCATACATATCTAATTTTTTTAAACTTTATAACTTTTTCCCATAATTTTCATTTAAATCAAATTCAATATTCAAAACAAAAAAAAACTTAGATTTTTTGAGTTAATTAATTGTATTTAAAATAAATAAATTACAAAATTACAATCAAATTGTATAACTAAAAAAATAAAGTATTTTTTTGTAAGTATTAAGCTTTTTTGAGGAAACTATGAGTTATATTACAAATTTTATGATAAGCTTTTCGTATAACAGCTACAAGTAGTTGTAAACAATCTTTACTAAATAAAATGATTTCAATTGAGAGAGAGAAAAAAATATGTCATATATTTTATTGTATAATTTTTACTAAACATATACTGTATTTACACAGTAATAATATACAGATTTAAATTGTAATGTTTGAATATTAATGGTCTAATACATATAAGAGACAATTTAAATAATAATCACTAATTTACAAACATTGAATTTTGAAAAGTTTATTTCAAATCACAACATTTCTTTTTTTTTAAATCAATCAAAATTTACTATTAAAAATAAATTGTTGATAACTAACACTATGTTTTAACCTATTAGACAATTGTTGTCAACAAAAAATATTTATATTTAATGCCATAAATCAAATATCGATGAGGTTTTTAATGTCGGCTTTCTCTGTTACATCACTTGTTGTGATATTATTTATATATGTAATAAATTTAATAGAAATTAAGGTTTTTTGTTTAAATAAAATAATTTATTTTTTTTGTTATTTATTACTGAAATACTTTGATAGCATAGATATTTTAATTATCACTTCAAATAAATTAGTTTTTTTAGTTTTTTCAAATATTTATATAGCAATGTATGTTAAAACATATGTATTTTTTATTTTTTTCAAAACAAATAAATAAAATGTTTATTAACCTGGACTAAGACCGGCGGGACTGAGGCCGGGGCTTAACGATAGCCCGGTTGGACTGGCATGAAATGGTGAATGATAGAGACCGTCATACGGCGAGATTCGGTGATATACCGATGCGGCACTGGACAGCACTGGCGATCCGTCTACTCCGTGTCCATTGACTAAGTGTCGTGAAGGAGATGTAGCTAACTGTCCCCAAACGGCACCGAATCGGCCAATATACGGGGGATAGTTGTGGTATATTGGCTCCAGATTACTATAATTAATGCCGTTTTGCATTACTGATTGTTGTCCATAATATTGTTTTCTTTTTGCGGTTTAGGTTATAACACAAAGACAAACAATAACATCAATAATAACAATAACAACAAACAACACAACTTTAATTTAAGTTCACAAATCCAGTTCATGTCTAAGCATATATATATGCATTAGTTGTATACTGTATATCCAAAAAACATACACTTTCTGAGATAAATAGAGAGCCTATGCCTGACGACAACTCTCCCGGTTCGAGACTACACAACAACTAAAACAGTACCACAATATGCCTGTGCCATCAGCTCAGGAATGTAGCAATGAGAGAGAGAGAGAGAGAGAGAGAGAGAGAGAGAGAGAGAGAGAGAGAGGACCTGATCCATGGTGTATAAGAAAAATAGGGGGTGCTTTTCAAATATACCAGAATATATATATATATTTATATGTATATATACTATAGTTTATATACATTCATTGAGTGCTCAACTTAACGTCTTAATAATATTTTAAAACACATATACTGTTTAAATGTATTGAGAGAGAGACTCATCTCATAGATGCACAAACACATACATACATACATACAGTATAAATGTATATAATGTTGGACTAGTAGTAGTGTGTCGGCCAAATGTATTTATTAAGGGACTCAATATGAAAGAGAGGGACGGATAGATAGAAACGAGAAGGATGTGCCAAAACTGGTATCAGATTTTATTGTCTACTCATTTAAGTAACTTTTTTTAATATACAATCTTTCTCTCGACTTTTTTTTAAAAAAAACCAACACTACTGTGCTTTTATATAATACTTTATAACATTTCATTATACAGTTTATCTATCTGTTGGTGTGAGAGAAGCTTTTTGTTGGCATATTATGCACAGTATATATAATATTATACATATATATACTGTACAATAAAGATGTATAGATATAATTTATAAACGATATATATATATACAGTAGATATCTAATTATATGTACAGTATATGTATAAAAATACATATATTTTGTTTATAAGTATAAGAATTTTGTACTAAAATTTGTTTTCTTTCTCGTATTTGAAGAGATTATGAGTTTTGATGGTTTAAGCGTTTGGTCGCAGAATAAGGAGATTTTCAGTGAAAAAAAATCTACTTTTCTGTCGTTAAAAGAGAAGTATTAAGAGATTTTCTGTCCGATAATACGCTTTTTCAACCAAATTACTGTAGATTTTTGACAATGAATACAATTGTTGTGGACTGACTGTCCCGTAACAACTGGTTGGTGTGTGTGTGTGTATGTGTGCTCTATGGTTATATATCTATTGTGTGCCACATGACACACACAATAGTTGGTGTAAAAACCCTACCCTTTTAGCTATAACTGCATATTATATCAAATGGTTTTTGTTATAGTGGACTGTCATTGAGTGACTATTGAACTGTAGACTACTGTAGTCGCGGGGGAACAGTCAGAGTTACAATATCTCTTGTTAGTAGAGAAATTGCATACCGCGGGACACCAGCAGCCAAACCATTAGTCTAATCAAAAGGAAAGACATGTTTCAATATATATATATATAGTATATGAGACCTAAAATAGACGTTTTCAAGCGAGAGTTGTTTGAAGCGGTTAAACACAACATTTGCGAAAACTCAATCCTACTGTCACTTCAAAATAGGGCTTTTCTTTAGATTTATACATTAGATATATATATAACTTATCAAATGTATACTCCATTCATATGATGTCTCCCTTTTGGTCCACATTTTTCCTTTATATTTCAAAAAAAATAAAGCACACACACATACACACACAGCACTGGTACTACATATACGATAAACACAATATATATGTGTGCGAGAAATATCTAACAATAGATTATTGAAAGAAAAAAAGTTATCCCTTTTATATAAGCTATAAATTGATATGTTAAGTATGGCTCAAAAAAATATTTAGTTTATTTACTTTAACAGCTAAAGATTTTTTTGTGATCCGACACTAAATACATATATAAATATAATATATGTATAATAATAATAATAACATTAAGAATCTGTCTGAGAGAGAGACTAAAAATAATAAAACAGATGAAAGATTTGAGTCAATTGGATGAATAAATTATGTCTAAAAAAAATATTTTTAGAAGATTTTGTTGTATTGAATAACAAGTGTTTCTAAAAATGTAATAATAATAATGTTTTTTTCTCTTAATTTAAATTTGATTGACACAATGCATACAGAATATTATATGCAATGAATTATTTAAATTTTTTTATTATCGCAAACTTTTGTTAACCACTTATACATTCAGTTAAACAACGAATTTATACAAATGGATAATAGGGAACAAAAGTTTATAACAATTTTATTTATTTATCAGCAAAAAAATGTTATTTCAAGAAAAAAAAGTTAGTGTCAAGTAGTGTACAGTGACGGGCAATAAGTGTTCAATTGATGTTTTTTATTGTGTTGTGCGATACTATGCAATGCATTATAAAATCGACATTTTTAATGGTATTTAATAGCACTTGAAAAATGAAATAATACTATTATTATTATTATTTAAATACTTTACCGTAAATTACTAGCAAACACTTTACTATAGTTTACTATGTAGTCATAATGTGTGAGAAAAATTGGTACCACTTTTCAAGTGTCCCGTAAAAGTAGATTGAAATGAGGAGTCAGACCTTAATTACTGTCGAAAAATTTGTTTACTTTTATTGTTTTTATGATAGTGTTTATGATGTTTACAGTGTGTGTGTGTGTGTGTGTGTGTGTGTGTGTGTGTGTGTGTGTGTGTGTGTGTGTGTGTGTGTGTGTGTGTGTGTGTGACTATGTGTCTGTTGACATAAATCAGAGCATTGGATGAAATGTTTGTCTAATTTATCTGAGAATTTCAAACTACATTATAATCGAAAGTCAATGCGAAATGACTGACTGACTGTCGTGTCTTTATCAGCAACAGGTGATTGAGAGCACAGTCATACTGTAGGTAAATGTGTATATGTATTGGGGAGACACTTGTCCAGGAATTAGTGGGCCGTCATTCAGTGCCATATACTATAGAATATATACATGAGAAAGCAAGAGAGAGAGAGAGAGAGAGAGAGAGAGAGAGAGAGAGAGAGAGAAAGAGAGAAAGAGAGAGAGAAAGAGAGAGAGAGTAAAGAATTTAAGTTTACTAAAGGGCTTTTATTCACAGTATGCTTGCATACCGGTGCTGTCAATGTAGCAAAATATGTGTTTGTATCGTATTCACTGTTAAAAGCAACCAAAACTAAACCTGGTGAAATTATATTGAATGGGAAAAAACTAACACTGAATTTTATGGCAAATTTTCACCAAATATATCTGCTTATTTAGTGTCTATACGCTTATCTCCTGTTCCCCATATTTTTTGTGCCCAACAAAAAAAAAGGAGACTACCCTTTATGTCTGTATTCCCCTTTGCTATGTGTTTGTCAAATACTACTAACAACTAATCCGGTACTCAAACATAATTCAAAATATAACACTCAACTCATAAGGTATTTAACAATTCAATACACACTAATCTTTTGACAAACATTTTTAAATGCGATATGAATATACATATATGTCATATAAAAATGTTATAAAAACTTTAATATTAATTATATTAATGATTCAAATCCTGGTTTCGCACACACATAGAGAGAGAGAGAGAGAAAGAAAAAAAGAGAGAAACAACACCACAAAAGTCATATCAAATAAATAAGTAATGAACTAAAGGATTATATCAATTATGATTATAATAATAAAAATGTTATTTTCGGGATCTCTTTTTTATTATTATTATCATTATTATTACTATTATTGGATGTTTCTTATCAAATCATTATTTTTATTATCATTGAACAGCAATAATAATAATAATAATAATACATAAATAGTATTAGCAATGAATTGAAAGTAATATAAGAGAGCAAAAAACAAAACAAAAAATACAATTTATTATATTATATATTGTATATACACCTGAATAATATAGTTTGCTAAATAAGTTTATCAAATGCCTTATATAGTGAACTCATTTTTTCACAAAAAAAATATTTGAAGCTCATGTAGTCGCTCTCTCTCTCTCTCTCTCTCTCTCTCTCTCTCTCTCTCTCTCTCTCTCTCTCTCTCTCAATGTTATGGAAACCCCCAGTGAGTCTCAAATGATTAAGTAATTTCATAAAAGAAGTTAATATTTACAGCTTAGGGTTTGATGTCCGCCAGTGCCCTATCCACTCAACTATCTCCCTCTCGTACTCTCCCATACACTCTCTCCCACTCCTCTCAGATGCCTCTCCTCAAGTGAGAGAGGTTTTCACTCTATCACTTTGCTCTCTCACTTGCTCTCTCTCTCTCTCTCTCTCTCTCTCTATATATATATATATATATATATATATATATATTTCTATCTCACAGATTCACTACTCATTACTCTCTCACTCACTCCTCAATCCTGTGCTGACACGGCTCCAGCTCTCTCTCTCTCTCTCTCTCTCTCTCCCATTCCAAACGCGTTTAGGCATTAGAGGTATAGGCATAGGACACCCCTGAGAGGCGAACCATTTAAACTATTTTCTATCCATCAAACAGCAATTCCAAGGACACAAAGTGAGAGCACAGGTATGTCTTTAGTAATGAAAGATACTGTATATAAATGTGTATACAATTTAAAAACTTTTAATGGCAACACAAAATAGACAGAGTGAGTGAGTGCCCATCAATAGAGTGGAAAGGTAGCTCAAACTTATTTGCACTGACTGTGCTCTCTCTCTCTCTCTTTATATATATATATATCTCACAGCTCAATTACACCAAAGCAATGGCCATTTATTGCACTACCAATTGAATAGAGATAACCGAAAATATATATTATAATGTTTGAAAAGTCATTGTCGGACAAAATTTATTGATTTCACTTAAATTTGTTAGACATTTAACTATGAGATACATTAGGAAAAACTTTTAACTTATTTTTATTATTGATATTTTGTTTTTGTTATTTAAGTATAATTTAAACATATTTTTGTTTGTAAAATTTAATTACTTTATTATTATTTTTTAGTATTTTTCAAAAAAGAGATTAAGTGGAAAAACAAGTGAATTAAATAAAATCATTTTATTTTTAATACAAAAAAATATTTTATAATAAAACTATTTAAATACAATCCTCAAAATTATTGAATATTCATTTTATTTTAATATAAGATATTAATTGAAAATTTATTTTATATGTGAGAGAAAGAGTAAATATATAATATTTTAT